CGAATTATTCCAATTTCTTATTAACAGTAATTCAACCTGCATACATGTATTTCCAAAAAAACTGATTAGCTTATGTCGTTGTTATGGCAACCTCCAAAGACGAAATCATATGTCCCCTTTATATAATTATAAAACAAAAGCAACATGTGAATCTTATATAAAGAAAGAAGATCTTACAGGAGTTGGGGACATAAAATGAAATTCAGAATATTCACACAGGGTGAATTGACGACACAGCCATTTATATATATTTACAATGTTGGCGACTATTGTGGACATGTACAAAGGTGTACACCAGATACCCAGTGTGAATAGTCCAGATTTTCATTTATTTCCTGAATTAATGAATGACTGAATTATAATCGGTCAGTCACAATCACACAATCGTCATGAACATTATTTTCATTATCAACACCAATGCCTTTCACATATCCCTTTATTATATTTTGTTTTTGTTTATTTGTAATAATTAATAAAGCAGAAAATGCAATTAACTTTATTTGTATGTATTTAACTTAAATAACTTGTTTATTTAAATAAAATATAAAAAAAATATATATTTTGTAGGCCCCTTTGTTTTTATTTTCATATAGTTATTAATTTGTTTTTTATTTATTATTTTCACCTACAATTGCAAACAATAATTGCCATATATCGGTGCGTGTGCTAGCTTTGTTTTGTTTACTTTCAATTCACTTTAATTTATATCCACATGCACGTACACGCACACACACACACACATATGCACCATCATAATTCCCTGTTCAATGACCAAACAAAATTCCTCTTCTAGTTTGTTGATAAATAATATTTCGCGGTATGTCTGAGAATCTATCTGAGTTACGAATGATGATATGCAGAGAGTAGAAAAAAGAAAAAGTAAAACAAAAACACAATCGAAACAGAGAACAAAAACAACAAACTTTTAATTTGTCTTCGGATCATAGAATTTAATGATTATTATTATGGGAAGAAAGGTTGAGGTGTTGAAATACAGGATACGGATCAATGTTATGAATTTGAAAAATATATTTTTTTGAAATAAATTAAATATTTCACACAGCCAAAGAAAAATGTTAGGAAGACAAATACAAATATTTCAAAATAATTATAAAACCAGTGAGCGGAGCAGTATAGTCGGACGGGGCCGACCATACGATAACCTACACAACTACCACGGAACTATGACTTTCTCCGGAGGTTTATTCCGAGCCTGGGCAATATTTCGTGATATTTGCATTCTTATTGCTGGATTAGAGGTCAACTGCACCTCTTCCTTACACTGACATATTTTCCGATTATTACTAATATTCAGTACAGCCTTTCTAATTTTTTGTCCAGATTCCCTTCACCGAGGGATGTGTTGTAATGTTCGGCTTATAATTGTGGCCTATAGATCGACTCGAAAAATACAAAAAAAAATTAAGTTTTCGGTCCACTTCATCTTAAATTTTTTTTATCAGATCATCACAGAAAATTATCCCTGGCCATAACTGGAACCTTATGGAAAATGCCAAAGCTATCACCGCTATACTTCCACCCTCTAGTGTGGTAATGTGTTACTAAGTAATATCTGAATACGTAAGCACCCGTACATATTGAAGTGTAACTCCTATATTCGAGTAGATATATCACTGTATTTGGTATCAATTTAAAGGCCAACTACTCCTCTTGAATATACCATCAATTTCTCGGGTCAATATCCTTCAGGAGTAAATAAATACGCCATAGAATACAAATTTTGTCATTTTCACACAAAAGTCAGGGTCCATTTGATCCGCTAAATATTCATCGGTCTTTATCAAAACATGCATGCTCATCTTTGGTCCGATCCCCTACTACATGTAAAATTTCACGATGTTCGGGCCATTATTGCGGCCCCTGGAGCGACCAGAAAATCAGACAAAAATAAAGTTTTTCGTCCATTTCATCTCCTAAATATTAAGCGATCTTTACCAAAAACAATAGGGGTCTTCGTTGGCCAGAACCCATCCTACATGCAAAATTTCGTGAAGATTGGCCCATAACTGTGGCCTGTATCGTGTTTACAAATTATAATGGACAGACGGACGGACACATGTCTAGATCGACTCAGCTAGTCAAGAATGACGATCGGTATACTAAAAGGTGGGTCTGGGACCAATATTTCGCGGCGTTACAAACTCTTGGGGCTGCACAAAGCTATAATACCCTGACAACATAGTTGTGTAGGGTATAAAAATGTTGTTCTTGGATTAAAATAATTGGAATAAAATAAATTGTGGATTTTTTGAAAGATATTTTTATGGCCCTTTAATAAATTTGGATTTAAAAAAATATTTATTTTAAGATCCTACAGGAAGGGTGGATTTTTTCAAAAAAAAAAATATTTGTTTATGTTTCCATCTTTGATTTGTAAAACAAAACTATTCACAGATCCCTCAATAAACGTGGATTAAAACATATTTTGAATTGTCTATCAACAAATATAAAAAACGAATTTCGAAAGTTTTGTTAATTTTTCTATTTCTCAATATTCAACACAACAAAAATCTCTCCATTTATAATTACCACTCAAAAAATAATTATAACTTATATTATTAATAAAATTTATTAACAAAATCCACTTGAAAAAAATTATAATTTTAAAACAATAAAATTTAAAAAATATATAAGACAATATACCACAAATCTACTTATGGAAAATTTCGAAAAAAATATTAAAAACAATTATTTTCAAATTTCCAATAATATTTTTTTTATTCTAAAATTAGAATAATTTGATTCTCCCACTTGTTAACATTTCAATTACAGCTAATTAAAATGAAAAACCCATATTGACCACATCCAACAGTGCCAGCTATTTTTTTTCTTTGAGTGTTTTTTTTTTTCTGGCCCTCACATACCACACACCGAGAGGAGAAAGCATAAAAACGCACAACTGACCATTACCATTCCCTCAACCCCATATCACACCACCTGCCTGTCTGCCTTCTGATCTTGCAGAATTTTATCTTTATAGTAATAAAAGAAAAATTAAAAAAAAAACACACACATTTTCATAATTGAGGATAGTGTTAAGAGTGTTCTAATGATATCAATTCAAATCGCCACAGAATAATATAAATAATAGAAACAAAATTGAAAGTAAACAAATTGTATCAAAGAATACAAATACGATAATTATGGTTTTGGTCAGACAAAAATGGGAAATGGGAGGCATTTTGGGATAAAACAATTCAAAAATAATTGAAACGAATTTTTGGAAAAAAATGAATAAATTTTTAAATAGTTTTGTATTTTTTTAAATACTTTCTGAAGCTATTTTTATACCCTACACAACTATGTTGTCAGGGTATTAAAGCTTTGTGCAGCCCCAAGAGTTTGTAACGCCGCGAAATATTGGTCCTAAACCCACCTTTAAGTATACCGATCGTCATATCTCGACTAGCTGAGTCGATCTAGACAATATACAGGCCAAAGAATAAGCATGCCTTTTTTGATAAAGATCGGTCAATATTTAGCGGGTCAAATGGACCCTGACTTTTGTGTGAAAAATAAAAAAAATGTGTATTCTATGCCGTATATATTTATCCTTGAAGAATATGGACCGAAGAAGTTCATATAGACCTTAAGAAGGAGTGGTTGACCTTTAAATTAATACCAATTATATTGTTGTATGTTCTCGGATGTGCGAGTTACACCTAAATATTTGCAGGTATCTCCGTATTAGTATATTATTTAATAACCCATTATCACTCTAGAGAGCGGAACTATAGCGGTGATCGGTGATGATCAGATAATAATTTTGGAATGAAGTGCACCGAAAACTTAATTTTTTTGTGTTATTTTCGAGTCCGTTTTTAACACATCGAAATATTCATTTCCGACCCTATAATGTATATATATATATATTCTTGATCAGGGTCAAATTCTAAGACGATCTAACCATGCCCGTCCGTCTGTTGTAATCACGCTATCTTCTGAAGGAATTGAGGTAGGGTGCTGAAATTTTGCATTGGGTTGTCTTTTGTCTGTAGGCCAAGTTCGATGATGGGATGTATCGGTCCACGTTTAGACATAGCTCCCATATAAGGGTACCCCCTAAATTTCGGTATTTTGAGGTTCTTTAGCACGTTTTTCAACCGAATTCGCTGAAATTTGCTTATTGGGTTCTAAATTTCTCCTCAAAAAATTATAAATATAGGTCCACTTTTTCTGGTAGCCCCAATATAACGGTACCCTCTAATTTACAGTATTTAGAGGGTTTTGATCATATTTTTCCACCGAATTGGCTGTAATTTAGTATTTTGAGTTCTTATTAGATACCAAAACTCTCCACGAAAAATTATGAAAATAGGTCCATTTTTTCGGATAGCCCCCATATAAGGCTACCCCCAATTTTCGGTATTTTGGGGTTCTTCAGCGCGTTTTTCAACCGAATTCGCCCCCTTTTTGCGGTAGTCCCCAAACAACCCCCTTTTTATATTAAAATAGTTATCTGATTTGGACTTATCCCCATGTTTTCGCATTCCACCATAGTAGTGTATATATTCTGTACTCGAAATATGGAATTCTATGACGATTTAGCCATATGTTTTAATCATTCTACCTTCGGGGGATACTGAGGTAAAAAACTAGAACGGCCAGGTTCGAGAATGATATATAATATATGGGCCCAGTTACGCCTATCCCCCATATTGTGATACCTATCCATTTGCGGTATTTTTAATATTTAGAGTGAACGAAGGTATGTATATAAGTCGTTAATTTTGCATAGGACCTCAAATAATTACAACTCAAACTGTAAGGTATTTCCTATACGATGTAATAGCCTCCCGGAACCTACAATTTGACCATCCAGTCCACACCTTCTTCACCACAAACTATCAAAAAATTATCTATTAAATACGTAATTTTTTTTAAAATAAAATTTAGGATCAACAAGTTATCAAGGATTACAAAATTAAGATTTTTTAGTAATAAATAATTTTTGTATTATATTTTTCTTTAATATTCACCTGCAATTTTCCTTTCGCGCATTTTCCGCCATAACGCCTCAGCCTTGCGTTTCGGCCAATTTTCGAATTTTTGCGAAAAGCTGCGAAAGAATTTATATTCGCGTATGGTTATTGACATGCGACGTTGCATTTTGACGGCCGATGATTTTATTGATCACGACAATAAAAGAGAGAACGATCAACACAGAATTTAATTGTTGATGTTGTTGTGACAGATGAAAAATCAATCCCACTGTGACAAATTTAACGATAATTGATTGGCGAGCAACGAATAAAACAAAAACAGACACAAGACAAATGCTGCTGCGTTTGCGTTCCGGGTTTTCTTGTTTTTTCTTTTTTTTGTCGTTTTTTTTTTGTATTTTTGCTATATTCACAAAAAGCTTTTCACTCAATTATTTTGACAGCTGATTTGACATGTGACAAATGTGTAAAGGGATTGTTGTGAAATTTTGTGGTTTTGCTATTTTTTTTTCACTTTTACATTGAAAATTAAAAATAGAGTTGATGGTGTAAGCGCGAAAAAATGACACAGAGAAAAATTTTGGTAATAAAAATTTGTTCAGTTTTAAAATTATGAGACTTTTTTTAATATTTTTTAATAATTTATTTTTTTTACATAATTTTTTTTTTCAATTTTTGTTTATTGGCCAAAAAGAAAAAACACAAACGGAAAATCACAGTTGTACACGTCCACACGGCTGCAACCTGCGCTATCCGGCCAATCACTGAAAAATCTAATGCAATGCACTCAACACCGTTGGTGTTGAAATTTTAGAGCAACCACTGCTGTTTGTTTGTTTTCATTTGTGCGTAAATTTTGTTTTCGCCTCAAAATGTTTGAATGCAACGATTAGCACACTCACTGTTTTTTTTTTCGAGAGAGAGAGAACAGGAAATTGCTATTTTTGTTTGTATTTTCGCCACTTGTTTTTGTATTTCCTCTTTTGGTCAAAAAGAAACAACACAAATATTTATGAATGAATCGCCACGAAACGAATGGTTTGTCACGCGACTGTAATAATATTTAGTAAATCACATTGACAATGTAAACATTACGATTTTGCCAAAAAACAAAAACAACTTTGAGAGCAAACGAAGAGAGCCAATACTCCACGCTAGATAACATTCTCAGCAATGAATGAATGAAGGAATCGAAATAATATCACACGTCTGTTGGCTACGAAGCCTGTGGCACTACTAATGAATTTGCCACAATGTTAATGGGGGGAATAAAAACACACGGCCGTGCAAAATATATCATGATGAACACTCGTTGTTTTCGTTTTACGCATAGTGGTGTCACTTCATCCTCATCATCATCGTCGCCGTCGTCGTATTTATCATCATCACCATCCTCTTCATCGTAATTAACTACGAAGGCGAATAAAACACGAGACGATAGGCCTTGCTATTGGGGCGTATGATGAATATTTTTTATTTTATTTTATCCGAACTCACAACACAACGAAAACGTAACGTATGAGTAACGGAAAATTTCGCTTTCAAAAAACACGAACAATTTATTTTACTTTTCTCCGAAATACCGTAACTTTCTCCAATGAATTGTACGGCCGTACTGAGGGAGTCTTCGAAATGTAACAAAATAGAGCCAGCCGCAAACACACAGCAGGCTGGCTGGCAGGCAAGCAACAGCAGCATCATCATCATCAGAAGCAGCAGCAACTGAGTATATGGAAAAGAAAATTGTATTGCCTGACTGGCAGACAGTCAGTCAGTCGGATAGTCAGGTTGACTGCCAATACAGAGTGTTTCCGATGTGCTGCTTCGTTGCTTGTCGATATTGTTCGATATGCAAAGTGTTTATGTCTGCCCAACCAACCAACAACACAGTCAATAACAACAAATGGGAGATGCGAACAACTAAAGGGTGTTCCAAGGGGAACTAAAAATTTTTGAAAAAAGAGGAATAGAAAAGGGGCTTGTGAGAAGACCCATATAAATGTTAATGATTTTTTCAATTTATTTCAAACAAATTAGGTTTTTAGAAGATATTGCATATAAAGGAAGATTGTAGGAATTTTATTTACGGAAAATCGATAGAAGCATTAGAGCCGGACATCTAAACATAAAATGCGAGCAGGAGGTAATCTAAAGACTTGAAATTTTTAAATTTAGATTTAAAAGAACCCTGGAGAGACATGATCTCTAGAAGAGCGCAAAACATCGTATTCGATGTTGTTTTGGTAAAAATACTTTGTGGTACATTTAATGAACCAGTTCGTAATCCTCATTTCGCTTAATATAACAATTTTGAAATTTCCAAGGAGTAGACCAATGACTTTCATTTTTGAACCGGATCTAGCTTGAATAAAAATATGACGGTGTGCAATGTTTGGATGAAATCGGATTATCTATTTGTTTGATACTGGATTTAAAAACTTTAATACTTTTGACTCATTTTGTGGGGGATGGTACCAGAAAGAGTGACCATATGGATTCCATTTTTGGACTAGGTCTAGGATTGGTAAAAATTTTACGATGTGCAAAGTTTGAATGAAATCGGATAATCCATTCATTGGATGTTGGATTTTCAAAATTTTCCAGAATTCCAACACTTTGTGGGGGAGGTACCAGAAGGAGTGCGTAGATGGGTCCCATCTTTGGACTACTTCTTGTTTTCGTAAAAATATTATGATGTGCAATGTTTGGATCAAATCGAATATTCCAATCGCTTGATATTGGATTTACAAAATTTTCCGAATTTTGACCCATTGTGGGAGAGGTACCAGAAAGAGTGGACCAATGGGATCAAACTTTGGGCTAGGCCTAGGGATGGTAAAAATATTAAGACGGACAAAGAGTAGACCAATGACTTTCATTTTTGAACCGGATCTAGCTTGAATAAAAATATGACGGTGTGGAATGTTTTGATGAAATCGGATTATCTATTCGTTTGATATTGGATTTACACATTTACATTTTTTTGACTCATTTTGTGGGGGAGTTACCAAAAAGAGTGACTCTATGGATTCCTTTTTTGGACAAGGTCTAGACTAGATAAAAATCTTACGATGTGCAAAGTTTGAATAAAATCGGAAAATCCATTCATTGGATTTTGGATTTCCAATTTGTGGAGGAGGTACCAGAAGGAGTGCGTAGATGGGTCCCATCTTTGGACTAGGTCTTGTTTTCGTAAAAATATTACGATGTGCAATGTTTGGATCAAATCGAATATTCTAATCGCTTGACATTGGATTTACAAAATTTTCCGAATTTTGAACCATTGTGGGAGAGGTACCAGAAAGAGTGGACCAAGGGGGTCAAACTTTGGGCTAGGCCTAAGTATGGTAAAAACATTACGACGCACAAATTTTTAATAAAATCAGACACTCCGTTAGATTGATATAGGATTTACAATTTTTTTCAGAATTTCAACACTTTATGGGGGAGTTACCAGAAGGAGTGGACGGATGGGTCCCATCTTTCAACTATTTCTAGCTCTCGTAAAAATATTACGATGTGCAATGTTTGGATCAAATCTTATAATTCAATTGCTTGATATTGGATTTACAAAATTTTCCGAATTTTGACCCATTGTGGGGGAGGTACCAGAAGGAGGCGAGCGATGAGTCCTATTTATAGACTTGATCTAGATTCAGTAAAAATATTAGCTTGGGAAAAGTTCAGATGAAATCGTTCATTCGTTTGGTTTTGGATTTTCAATATTTTCAGAATTTTGACCGATTGTGTGGAATGTACAAGATGTAGTGGACCAATGGGTCCCATTTTTGGAATCAATGTAGTTTTGTAATTGTATTACGAATTGCCAAGTTCGAATAAAATCAACTACTCTATTCGGTTGAAATCGGATTTGCATTTTTTTCAGAATTTGGACACCTTGTGGGGAAGGTACCAGAATGAGTGGACCAATAGCCTCCATCTTCGGGCTAGACATAGTTTCGGTAAAAATATTAGCAGGTGCCAAGTTCAGATGAAATCGAATATTCCATTCGATTGATATTGGATTTTTAATTTTTTCTGAATTTTGACCCATTGTGTGGTAGGTAACAGAAGTTGTGGACCGAAGGGTCTCATCTTATCATAGGACCACATACAAAGCTTGAATGAATTCGGTCTCTCTATGCACTTGATGTTGGATTTACAAATGTTTCAACAGTTTGACACCTTGTGGGGGAGGTATCAGAAGGGGAGGGTCGTTGGGTCCTATTCTCGGACTTAATCTAGGGTTTATAAAAATATTGCGATGTGCAAAGTTTGGTTCAAAACGGAAACACCATTCAATAGATTTTGGATTTACAAATTTTTCAGAATTTGTACCGAATGTGGGGTAGGTACCAGAGGGTGGACCGAGGGGTCCCATCTTCGGATTTTATATAGGTTTGCTAAAAATATTACGATGTGTAAAATTTGAATCAAATAAGACACACCATAGGTTCAGTGTTGAATTTTTTTTAAGATTTTGGGGGATGTACCATAAGGGGAAGCTTGATATGTGCCATCTTCGGACTCGATCTAATTTTAGTAAAAATATTACGATATGCAAAGTTCGTGTCAAATCGCACACACCATTCCCTTGATATGAAATTTACAAGTTTTCAAAATTTTTAACCTTTGAGAGTGGGGTTCAAGAAGGATGGGCCGATATTTCCTATCTTCGAAGTTTGATGAAAATCTTTCAATTTTCAAAGTTTGGAGAAAATCTGCTACTCCAAACGATAGAAATATGGAGGGCGGAAATTTGTAAATCGACTCCAAATCGTGTTGAACGAATTTGACCGAAAGAAACATTGGGTCTACAAGCAATACTTCGATGAGATACATTTTTGTCGTATACTCTTATTAGACATAAGCCTGAATGTATAACAAAATTTTTAAAAATTTATTTAAAAATATGCAGGCAAACGGTTTTTTTATAAAACCTATGATACAATTTTTTAAAAAATATTTTTTGTGACTCATTTAATTATTACCAAATTGCCTCAAAATCTTCCCACAAAATTCACATCAACAGCCTCTGGAAGTAATTTAATTTTTATAAATTTTTATCCAAATCTAAAAAAATCGTTCCTAAAATTCTATTTTATATATAAAATATTTATAATCTTTTTAAAAACATTGGTTTCAATTCCTTTTTTTATAATTTAGAAACAAA